CACCAGCTGCCAGGCCAGGCACAGCACTGTTGCCGGCTCAAACTCGAAAAAAAGAGCTTTTCTGGTCAATTTTCTTCACTTTTCTTCACTTCAGTTTCCTTCCTCAGTGCAGTTTTACCTGCTTGAAGCTGGTCTCTGAAGCAAAATAGTATAGCATAGTAATCTATGACTCACAGAAGTCCCATAATTCAAATTAGAAATATCATTAAGCTAGTGTAATAGATAGTGGCTGCCTGATATTCTCAATGTACAAACGTTTTGTGTGATATTGGTAAATATTTCTCATTATAGAAAAGATACAATGTTTAGTATGCATTTTCAGAAGTGCTCCTTAATATCCAAAGAACAACTGCTTTACCACTATTTTACCTAATTCAAAGTAAGTTTTTCAAATTTTTAGTTCAAATAATGATTTTTAGAAGCTGAAGTGTTCATAGAGGCAACATGCTAATACTCAGTGCATCCTTAATGCAGGATAGTCATTCCTTTTTCATGAGCATTGTATAAGGTATTAGTATGGAAAAGACTGTTACAGATATTGGTAGGCAACAGGTGCACTAGCCTGTATAGGGGTTCATGTGGAAAGATAATTCTTTTTATGAGGAATAGTTTGTTGCATGGGAAGTATGTCCTTTTATTAACTTTGGAATGTGTTCTTTAACAGCAGCTCGCAAAGAATGCAGTGACGTGGGTTGTGAAAAAGGTAAATTCATTCTTCACAAGTAACATGCCAGTTTTAATTTGCTTTTAACTCAAGTGACATTTGTTTACTTAAAGTTGCTGGAAGTAACTGGGTAAAAAAGAAGGTAGTGATATGGATAAATGCATATCCATCTCAAAACTGTTCATGCAACATGAGTTGCCAAGCAAACACTGTTAATCTCCAAATATTTAATCTTTGTTCGTCTTTAAATTACTTGGCAAAACTGTGAATGTTCTCACCTAAATAAAGACTAACTTTTCAGAGTGGACTGCTGTAGAATTCCTCTGTTGGTCGCTATTTCTTCTCTCTAGTAGTAAAGCCTGTCCACCTGAGAAACAAGTGTTGGAGAACTTAATTGGCATCTAGGTAATGATAGTCATTAAAGCAAACCATGAAGGAAGAGTAGATTCTCAGTTTCAGAGGCTGTGGCATCTGGGGTGCTATTTCTGGAAAACAGGCTTGATGTGGTTTACTGAGTGCAAGTTAGTAAACAGAATTTCATGATTTGTTTGTGGAGATCAGATTGAAATGTATGGTGAATCATGACTTTCTGACACGTACTGAAAGTGTCAGCTGGGACAGTCTATTAGAATGTTTCCTTACCTGCAGTGTGTTTTGGAAATGACTTAATCCTTATTTTGCACTTCTCTTATTCTTGAAATGCACAAGGACAAATAGTGAAATCCTGACTTCTTTATGAGTATTTTTGGTTCCTGGTCCTTCCTCATTTCAGGTCCCCATGAAATGGCTTCTGCTGCTAACTTTCCTGAGCACCAGAGAATTAATTTTATACTTTAAGTTTTGTTAGCTTGAAAAATACATTAAGGAATGCAGAACTATAGATGTACTGCCATGAACAGGTTAATTTTGTCCTTCTATATTAATAAATGCATTGTTATTGAATAGGATAATTTATAGTATAATGAATTTTAGTTGTAAAATTGTTTTTTGCATGGTGGTAAAGTAGAGCCTAATTTAATTTTTGTGAGTAACTCTTCAAAGTAAGGTCCTTGAGCAAATGTGAGCCACGAGTGCTTTACAGGAGTCTGGCTTTATTTGTAGGTGACTTTTAGGTGTAGTAGTTTAAAAGTAAGTTCTAACAGAACTATTTTATGAAATTTCTTGCCTTTCTGAAAAGGGCAGAGAAGTCTAAATGACGTTCCACTGAACTTCAATAGCTCCATACTTAAAATAGTTTTAAGTTTTCTTTCTATTTTTCATGAACTTGTGTGGTTGTGTTCTTAAGGTCCAAAGGTGACTTACGTGCCCCCGCCTCCACCTGATAATGAACAAGCCATCTTTGCACGTTATCAGAAAGGAATTAATTTTGACAAGTATGATGAAAACATTGTGGAAGTGTTGGGACTTGACTGTCCAGCACCATTGAGGGTTAGTGAATTTATTAATCTCAGTTTATGTTGAGAGTGTTTCTGCAAGTATGTATACTGAATCTAATATTCACTGCTAATGAAAATATTAGTAAAGATTTTGAATCTTGCAGAAAATCCTGTGTTGGAAGGAGGTGCCTGCCCATGTGAAAGATGTAACTTGAATTCAAAATGACATTGACAAACTACAGGAAAGGCCCAGAGAAAGTGATACTGGGTGTACAGGAAGTATAATCCTTACATCACAGAAAAATACCAGTTTAAATCTTGAAAAAATGAGGTCTTTACTAGCCTTCCCAGAAACTGCTGCCAGAGTCATCATGTTGAAGTCTGTTACTGGGGAATCTTTTTGGCAATGTATAATGAATATACACTTGTTGGAAAAGTTTTTATTTGGACAGAGAGATGTTTTTGAAGTCTTTTCTAGCCCAGTTTTCTGTGGCTGCAGTTTATTGTTTTAAAGTAATACATAACTTTGCTTCTACTACATACCAGCTGTCTAATACTTAAAAAAAAGCTAGAAGGGAGAAGAATGAGGAAGAAGAGCAGAAGGGGTAGTAGCACCTGTGTTGAAAGAGAAGATGCAGGGTTTTTTTTTTCCCCATCTTCTAAAAGGTTTTCTCGCTAAAGTTAAACTGATTTTGTCATGAACAATGCTTTTAAGGATGTTGCTTTAGCTCCCCTTGTTGGTTTCAGCACAGAGACTAAGTGTGTATCTTCTGTGTGAAATGAAACTGAAGAGTTTGAGTTTGTTTTTGTAGCATGCCATGATGTGAGTTTACCTGCTTGGATCCAGATGTATGGCTTCTGGGCAGTTTTCTCTCAAAATTAATGAGACAAGCAGAAGGCCTTCATTGTCCTACAAACAACTTTACTTGAATGGCATGAGTAGGTTGAGGAAGCCTGTGGGGCTTCCACCTGTAGCAACCTGGTAAATCTAGATGACTGGTGAGACCCCTTCAAAAGTTCATAGTTCTTAGTGTTTGGATGTCTGTATCCTATGGTAAGTGTCTCAGTTTTTAAGCTTCTGTGGTTGTGTACTGTTATCTTACAGAATTTCGAAGAAGCTAACCTCCCTCAGACTTTAAACATGAATGTTGCTAAAGCAGGATACTGTAAACTTACTCCAGTGCAGAAGTACAGCATTCCTGTTATACTGTCAGGAAGGGATTTAATGGCATGTGCCCAGACAGGATCAGGAAAAACTGTAAGTATTTTGTGTAGTATTCATGCTACTGGAAGTGTGTGACCTTGAACTTTTAGGTAGATGCCTCAGTCTTCCAAATTAAAATTACACTAGATGCTTCACAGCTTGTATAGTGATTTGACTTGCACTGCAATGGCAGGTCTAGTATTAAGCACAGATACGAATGATGGATGAGTTGTCGCATTTTGGGGCTGAATTTCTTTCCAATTGCAGTGAACTAGTGTCTTGATACAGCAGGCCAATCTACAGGACTACAGATACGGATTCAGAAGCATAGGCAGTCATAGAAACTGCTGATGAGGAAAAAAACTCAGCAAAAGTTGAAAGCTGGGTCTTTCTTTCTGTGGTCTGTGGGGTTTTGTGTTGGTATGTGTGTTTTGTGTTTTTGTTTTTGTTTTTTGTTTTTTTTTTTTTTTAAAAACTTATACCAGATTGTAACAGTGTGTCATGCTGGCTTATCATCCTTGGTTTGATCAGGTCTGATCTGCACCAGCCATAGTTTCAGGAGATTCAGTATTAATCATGGAACAGCGTTGAGAGCTGATACTAAGTTAACAGTTGTGTTCACTTGTTAAACTGTCCAATCTACCCAGATCTAACCACTGACAACTCTGTTGGAGAATATTTGGATATTAAACATAACTTTTTGCTGTTATAGTGTGGCATTTTAGTTTCGTTGTTCATGTAGCAAATTAGTTACTTGTTTTGAAAAACCTCTTCTGTTTGCAGAGGGGGGGAAACATCCAAAGCTTTTGCTATACATATTCTGAATGTTTTTGGACTGCTATATAGTAACTGGGAGTAACTAGTCTTACATGGAAGGTGGCTGGTGCAGCTGTGTTGCAAACTGATGTGCTATTGTAGTAGTCTGGAGTATGGTGATATGTGGTTACCTTACAAATCAGCTGATGATACTGTAAGGAATGTAAGTAGATGTTAAGGAGGGTTTTTGTTCCCGCAGTACATCATTATCAATGTATGTTGGCATGATGTGTGGAACTGCCTGAAGAGCCAAGAAGTTACCTGGTGCATGACTGTGTTCTTGCATTATTAGACTCTTAAGGTGCAGGGAGGTATTTTCATGCTGCTTAAACAAAAAGAAATAGGCTTAAATGTTCTATAGTGCATTCAGGTCAATCCTTTTGCAGTCTTATTTCTTTGAGGTTGATAGTATGCTGTATCATTCTAGCTTCAAGATATGCATCTTTTAGTGTGACTGATGAAAACTTTAAGACTAAACAGCATAAATACTGATGCTTTTTTAAGGCAGCTTTTCTTCTACCAATTGTGGCCCACATGATGAGAGATGGCGTAACTGCTAGTAGCTTTAAAGAGCAGCAAGAACCAGAATGTATTATTGTCGCCCCAACTAGAGAACTGATAAATCAGATCTTCTTAGAAGCGAGGAAATTTGTGTACAGGTAAGCATTTGCACTGTTGCTTGGTATGGATTATTACTGTCTGAATCAGCAGTGCCTTTTTTTTTATGAGTACTTTCAAAATTTTTTATGTGCCAGTCGAATGACTACGAACATTTGAATTTAGATTGTAATACTGGCTGGCAGGTTTCTTACTATATGGCTAGGGATTTAAACTCCTAATATTCTTGATATTGGGGCGGTGGGGATGGAGGCTGATTCCAGTTTGAAGAGGAGATAAGTATTAAACTTGTCACATCTTTACTGATGAGAAAAATGAAATTTCTTAAAGTAACTTTAGCTTGCCTTATGTAGTTTATACCTGCTTTTATTTTCATCCTGACAAAAACAAAGCTGTATTAGGGGTTTTTAGTTAACTTTCTGATAGTTTCTAGTAACTCTGTACTTCCAGTGTTTTTGGTCTTGGACAGAAATTTTGCAGCTCAAACAAGCTGTTCTAGCTCTGCTTAAAAACAAACATAAGGTGTAAACTTGTCATTGAGCACTTGGAAATTATGTGAGAGTACATTTGTACTAGTTTGCCAGTGATCTTTTTGGTGCTAAGTGATAGATTTCACCAGTGCGCAGGAAGAAAATTAAATCTGCTGTATGTAATGGTTTGTTACTTCTAGGAGGTGGAATGGAGAACGTTGTCGGTGTGAAATCTGGTGGGCTAAATTAGACTTGTCTTTGCTTGCTCAAGCAAACTTAGGCTTGGAGGCTGTCTCTGCTTTTGTGAAGTATCCTGTTAACTAAGAATAGCCTGTTAATCTCTAAAACTGTTTTAAGTATGTAGCTAGTTCTATTAGTTATGCTATTTTAAACTAGATACAGATTACTTCACAATAAAACAGCTTTTGAATTTAGAAAGTTTCTGCTACAGCTGCCCTGCAGTGAAAGTAAGATAACTTGCATTTAGGGGGCAGTTAAATAATACCGAGGGGTGAATGTTGCCTCTGAAGAGTTGCATGTATATTGCTCAATTCAGATTCATGATACTGTTAAGGTCTTTGGTTTAATATACAAATAGGAACATTAAATATGTATATTGACTGATTGTGGATAAACACTGAAATGTTACGAATCCAGCCTGTTTCTGTTCTTCACTAAAGCTTTTGGAAAAGTTCCAATTAAACCTGGTGAAAATTTACCAGGTTTATCTGTTTCACTTTTGTTGCATATGAAGCTCAATTAGTATCTTCAAGAATGGACAGTTTGAATTTCAGTATGAAAATTCTCATTGCATGCATGTAATAGCCTTAACAGAAGGTCATAAAGATAAAGCTTGTAAACTTGCTTTTCAGCTGTGTAAGGTAGTTCTTGCTGGTAGAGGTGGTTTTCTACAGGAGAAGAATATCTGATGTAGCTCTGCTCAGTAGGTGTTAACAAAAAACCTTAACAGGAAGAGCACTAAGTAGTTTAGTATTTGAATGGGTTTGCAGTCTTATGCTTGAGTGGCACACTCCATGGCCAATGTGATTAGTTGCTTTATAAAGATCCATCTTTGTATTTTTTTTGTGTGCTGTCTTTTCAAGGTGTGTAAAGATTACTTCTGAAGCTCTAAAGGCATATATTTGGTGGTTCTGCTTTTTCTAAGTATGCCATATAAAAGGGAACAATGTCTAACACTATTTTGGCTTTTACTGCCAGTAACTCTCAGTTGAAGGGAGGAGGAAGAATGCAGGTGAAATGTTCTTTCCAAGTAAGCCACCTGTGCAGCCTCTATTATGTAGTATGAATGGGAACTTTGAGCTTACCATGAGTTTCTGGTCTTGGGTCCTGCTTTTGGTTATAAGCTGTACTTTACAGTGAAGGAATTGAACCACTCTAAGCTGATTTATGTTAGATCCGATGATTTTTTTTTTCTACGCATTTTCATGAAACAGGAGTGTTTGCATACTTACATAATTAATCTGTTTTGTTTTTTTTTTTTTTTTTCTGTGTAATAGAACTTGTATAAGGCCTGTTGTGATCTATGGAGGTACACAAACAGGCCATTCAATTCATCAGGTAATGCAAGGCTGTAATATACTGTGTGCCACTCCAGGAAGGCTTCTAGACATCATTGGAAGAAAGAAGGTAAGATCTTAAATCTTCATCTGAATTCCCTAAACACTCTTAGCTTTTTACATACTGGTTTTCATTCTTCGGATTCGCTAGAAGCAAAGATAGAGCTGTGAAAACCAATCAGTATGCTGTAATTATACAGGCTCTTAAAATACAACTGAGCTTTTCTTGGAATATCTAAATACTATGAGGTTTTTTGAAAGAGTAGCATGAGTCCAGATCTCTTCAGTCCCTTTCAGGGCCAGATGGAAAATATCAGTCTAAATCAAACTGGATGCAGTGTTCTTGACAATTAAATTTTGTAGGGTAAATATGTGGAACACCTTCTCTCAGTTCCTGTGGAAAATTCCGAAGCAGATTTTCCCTTGATGTTCTGTTTGTTTTGCTGGAATAGCTTTTATTTGTTTGGAACTGTGATAATATTTATTGGTTTTAAACTAAAAGAGGAGAGACTTAGACTAGATATAAGGAAGAAATTTTTTATGCTTAGGGTGGTAAAACACTGGAACAGGTTGCCCGGGGAGGTGGTAGGTGCCCCATCCCTTGAAAGATTCAAGGTCAGGCTGGGTGGGGCTCTGGGCAATGTGATCTAGTGGAAGATGTCCCTGCTTACTGCAGGGAATTGTGCTAGGTGACCTCCATGGTCCCTTCCAACTCAAACTATTCTATGATTCTATGATAATGGTGGCCCAGTGATATTGCACTGGACAAATGAAGTTTGGAAAACACTTCTCGGTAATAACCTGGAGATTGGCTTTCTGTGGTTTTCAGGCTTCCAGTCAAAATGACAGTCTTGGTCATTTTGCAGCAACAGTGAAGTTGTAATGTCCTTAACAATGCTTTCTGACATACATCTTTTCAGAACAAGGAGTTTTTTGGGAATGTATGAGGGTTATATGAGAGAACCTTTCTAAAACTCAGACATAATTTCAAAATAGGTGCGGTGAATAATAGTCGATCTATGGGCTCTATCTTGGTTTGTATTGCTGAACCAAATTCTGAAGCACTTCTGTGTATGCATGCCATTAGAGTTAGTGCAGATTAAAAAGTTAAATAAAGGTTGAGATGCAAATAAAACGTAATGCACATAGGCTTTTATTTGTGGATAGCCAACTTCTAGTAGAAATAAATAAGTAAAAGGTGGATTTTGGCAGTTGGGACATTCTGTAAGTGTATACTGTCAGTGAACCAATACAGTCTTTCTTTCACTGAAATACTTGCAGATTGGTTTGCATAATGTGAAATACTTGGTGCTAGATGAAGCGGACCACATGCTTGATATGGGTTTTGGGTTAGATATGAAGAAGCTGATTTCTCACCCAAGCATGACACCGAAAGACAAACGTCAAACAGTAATGTTTAGTGCCACTTTTCCTGAAGAAGTTCAGAGGTGAGTAAAGTAAAAATGGAAATATATCTAAAGATGTACTTGTATAGAGCTAAACGTCTGAAGAGTTGTTAAGGGCATTCCTTATATTTAAAACCTTAGTCTTGCTCAGAAGATACTGAAAAGCTGTGATGTTAGCATTCCTTGCTGAAGACTTCCCTTTTTGTAGGTAACAGAACTCCTAGTAACTTGCATAGATTAACTGCTTAATTTAGGTGGGGTCTCTAAAGCAATTTATGAAGCTTGTTTGAAGGCTTTTAAATTCCAGTTCTGCAGAAGTCCTCATACTGCCCCTGTTTGATTCTTGTCCCTCTCCCACCGCATCTCTGAAAGCTCAAAAATGGTTTTGCAAGCAGCACTGCTAAGCACTGTCTTTGGCAACAGCAGATAATATAACCAGACATCCTAATTATTGCTCAGCTCACCAGCCTTTCTGGTATACAATCCTTATTTACATGCATAAGTGCTATTTGTTTTCAGTAGTTTTAAAGCTTCCACAAAAGCGTTTAGGATATGTCTTACAGCTCTACTACTCACTCGTCTTAAAGTTATACTTTCCAGACTCTGACAGAACAGATGATTGTGGGGTTGCTGTTGCTTGAACACATTTAAATTTCTAGTAACTTGTGTATTTGCTGTGAAAAACACCTCTTCAGTGGCAATTACACCTATAAATCAGGTGGGAGATTCAAGTCCTTAAAGCAGCCTTTTAATATTTTTAAGACTTTCCTCTTTCTTAGAAATCTGTTCTACAACTTGAGATTGACTTGTTTATCATCTGAATTTTACTGCAGTGGAAGCTGCTTTGTGTACACTAGACGTGAAGCACACTTGTGTGTTGATAAATTAATGCAGTTTAGTAAAATTCCTGAGTATTATGGGGCATTCCAAGGAATTAACTATTTTGCTGAGTTTGATCTCTCAGATAAGATCAGCTATTTAAGGGAAAACTGAAGAGAGATGCTGTCTGAACAAAATTTGACTTTTGCCTATGGTAACTGGTAAATAAATGCCATGTAATAAATGGTGTGTTTTTAAGCAGTGCTTTTGCTGAACAGTCAAAAAGGATGCTGTTGCATCTTACAGGCTAGAATTAGCAGAACAGGCCTCTGTAGGATTCTCCCCTGTCCCTCTAGCTAGTGACAAAATAGTGCCTCAGGAACGGTTCTGTGAGCATATGTGTCCATATCCCATTTTATTACAAGCATACCTGTGGAACTCTTTGCAATATGGCTAGAAAATGGCAAGGGTTTGTATTATGAAAAGCTGGAGGGATGTAATCAGCCTGTGCGCCTTCTTATTGATCAGGGTTTTTTTGTACAGCTATCTAGAAAACAATACAGATTTGTAGCTTTTAAAAAAATGCACAGATGACTACTCACATCCTCTGCCTTGTAAGGAGTGATACAAGTATTTGTTTTGAGGGTTGCTTAAACATAAATGAAGTTACTTGATCTTAAAGCAAAAGAACCCTACAAAATGGAGTTCATGTTGTTCAATTTTGCTTCTTTTCAAGGCTGGCTAGTGAATTTTTGAAAAGTGATTATTTATTTGTTGGTGTTGGATGTGTGGGTGGAGCTTGCAGTGATGTTCAACAAAGTATTCTTCAGGTTCCTCAGTATTCCAAGAGGGATAAACTGATAGAAATTCTGCAAAGCACAGGTAACTTGTCTTATTTATAATTGTTTTCCAGGGAAGATGAAATTGCTTGGTTTTAAACTTGTGCTCTTGCCGTTGACCATGTCGTGATTCTGTTCTGTTATGCATGTTACATGCTTTACAAGACTACTGATTGTAGCTTGAAGCAGCTTGGGGAGTTCTAGGGTTTTAGGCATATTTGTGTTATGGGTATTTGTCAAGGTCTCATCTGTATTGAGCATTAGTACACAAGCTTCCCAGTTGGTTAGTTTATTTCTTCGGTTGGTTACAATACTTTAGTTTCTGGAGGTCATGAGACCTCCAGATTATAGGTGTATTAAACTTCTTATGTGAGTGTTTGGGCCTGTGTTTAGTTAATGGCTGTGATTTTTTCATTTCTGCTCTGAATGTGTCTTAAGTTTTAATGCTGAAAACTGGAAGGGAATTTGGAATGAAAAAAATAGTCTATGTACCTTGCTGTTCAGTGCTCAGAATGGCATGCCACTTTTAGCCACATGCTGTAGAAAGGGAGTGCATGCTTGTGCCAGAGAACAGCATTCGTTTCCTCCTCTGATTGAGGACTTGTCTTTACCTAGGTTTCTGTATTGATATAGAAATTGATGGGTTGAATTTGATAGTTCAACACAGGCAAGAAATTACAATCATACCTTGAAGACTTTATTCAAAACTTGTTCTGATATTGGGTGTTTATATAAGTAACTGTGAATAGTGAAAATGCATCAGGTTTAAACTGCAATGGATCTGAACTCTTGTTTAACATAGGTCATGAGCGAACCATTGTGTTCGTGGACAAAAAGAAAAAAGCAGACTACATTGCAGCCTTTCTTTGTCAAGAAAAAATACCAGCCACTAGCATCCATGGGTAAGTATTTTTTAAGTGAAAGTCAGGTAATAGTATCAAGTGAAAAAGTCCTTTAATACTTTGTATCATCATAGAATCATAGAATGGCCTGGGTTTAAAAGGACCATAGTGATCATCTAGTTTCAACCCCCCCCCGCCATATGCAGGGCTGCCAATCACTAAACCAGGCTGCTCAGAGCCACATCCAGCCTGGCCTTGAATGCCTCCAGGGATGGGGCATCCGTGACCTCTTTAGCCTTTATTGAGATTTCATATTTGGCCATATCTGTGCAATTTAGCTGTTTCAGATAGCACTTTAATCCTCAGTGGCTCTGTCCTGTTGAGAATGTAGTGTTTCTGAAGAGCAGTTCTTACAGCATTTGCTGACTATACGTCTTTCTAGTTGACCACACTTCAAATGCTGTGTGTGAACTGAAGAATCTTATGCTTACTGCTAAAAAAAAAAAATAATTAGTATATGATAAATTTAGTAGAATCATTTGTTTATATGTAGTTTTTTGTCATAATTTGTGTGACTAAGACCAGACCTTTTGGTGTTACTGGTGAGGTGGTGTTTGTAAATTCAAGTGGCAGTTGTGGACCTTCCACTCTGTCTTACAGGCTTCCTCAAAGTGACAAGTGAAGTCATGTACCATGCACATTTCTGATGCTGTCATTTCCGCCTCCTTCATGTCTTTGCGGACATAGCATTTGTACAGAGATGGATTTAAAGAGAAGATGCTTCTAACGTGTGTTTGTAGTCTACTCATTAGTGCTGAATACCTGAAAAAATGCTGAGAAACAAGGTGAAATAGTTGCTAATTCCAGGTCTAAACCCATCTAAAAAGATGGTCTGTCTTTACTGTATTGAGCTGGAATGTAGTTCTGTGCTATTTGTTTATATGTCAAACTGTAGGACAACAAACTGAATCTTAATATTCACATTGAACTGTAGCACATAAAAAATGTAATTTTGCAATATTTTTCATCTTGTAATAGGAGGAAGTGACTTGAATTCTTGATAATAAAACTATATTTTGGGCCATGTCCTGACAGACATCAGAATGTCAAGGTTATAAATGGGTTAAAATTGTCTTAGTACACATATACAAGATGTTTATCTGTATCCTGTGCCTTATCAGTTTTACAGGTATGTGAAGGGTCATTTTGAGCAGATCTGGCCTTCTGTCTTGCCTAACCTGAATTGCTTTCCCACAACCTGTCTTGGTTGGGAGGAGATTCTTAAACACATTTCTGTAGAAATATTACACTGTGAGTTAAGGTATACTTACAAAGAGAATAAATGGTTCCATGGAAGCTGCTGAACTATCATGAATGTTACTGATTTCTGATTAACTTGAATTTTTTGAATTGAAGTTAGTTGGTATAGTTGCTTTTCTCTGTAATAGTGGTTATACCAAACTTCACTAAATGCTCCATGTTACATTCAAAAGAGCACTGTTTTTTAGCTTTCTAATTTGTTATCTCATTTGTACAACAAAGAACGTGAGTTAATCTTTGATATACTGTATTTAAGTACTGAATAATCTGTAAATATTTTTTTAAAAAATGTAAACCCTAGAGCAGATACAGTTTTGTTCTCATGATGATAAACAAAAGGCAAGTTCTGTACTGTTGGCTGGCTACACTTCCTCCTAGTGTATTTGAAAAATGGCCTGTGTGGGAGTCAAGGTAGACTTCATCTTTCCTATTCTGGCTCCCTGCTACAAAGCAGTAGGAAAAGCACTTCTTACTGTGGCATGAAGAAACAATCAGTTAAACAAGTGGATCCTCTTAGGAAGGCAGTGAGTTTGATACATAACTATTTCTAGTTCTTTTAAAAAAATTAATTTCTCCAGAGAGTTAGGTTAAAATAGTTGCTGTGTCTTACTGCTAATCAGCTAAAAATTCAGAAAACCTAAGCTGGTAGTGTGTGTGTGTGGCTTTTTTTTTTCCCTCTGAGAACTGCTTCTGTCCATAAATCATGGCCTTTCAACTTGTATCTTAAATAATACTGCAGATTTTTTGAGGCATCTGTTCTAACCATTGCTTTAATTGTAGAGATAGAGAACAGAGAGAGAGAGAAATAGCTCTTCAGGATTTTCGTTCTGGAAGATGTCCAGTCCTTGTAGCAACGTCAGTGGCAGCAAGAGGTCTGGATATTGAAAATGTTCAACATGTTATAAATTTTGATCTTCCCTCCACCATTGAAGAGTACATACACAGAATTGGACGAACTGGTCGTTGTGGAAATACAGGCAAAGCAGTTTGCTTCTTTGATGACATTTCAGATGGCCATCTTGCACAATCTCTAGTTAGAGTGCTTTCAGAGGTAAGTTATCTTAGTGCTTAACTTTTTCTGTTCTTCAGGATTTCACTTTAGTGTACTGAGCAACTGTTATTTCTTTGGTACAGTTAATATGAATTGGTAAAGCAGTCAAAGTCTCTAAATTCACTTTTCTAATTATGCAGGCCCAGCAGGAAGTTCCTGTTTGGTTGGAAGAAATGGCTGCTTTTGGTGGTCAAGGAGGAAATCTTGTTACACCAGTTAATACCGGAAAGGTAAGTCTGGAAATGAAGTGCAAGTCTTGGCTTTTAGAACTTTGTGTCGGTATAAAAGTGTGTTTAGCAATATATATCCAGAGTAATACCACTGGAACGGTTTTGACTGTAACTGTGTCCATAATTTTAGTTGTGCATTTTCAAAATCTTCAGTATTTCTGAAACTAATTTTGGACAACTTGTTTGACTTTGGCCTTACTAGCTGTATTAGTCTTGTTCTGTAGTGTCAAGAATTACTCAGTGGAAGATTTGTGAAAACACACACAAAGGCTATAGTTCCAGAAGTTTCTCTACTGCACTTGTAGGACAGGAGCAAATAGTTGGTAGTCATACAGTCACTGCTTGTTATGAATTGATTGATCAAGTAACTGATTGGACTAAAAACTTCATCTAATTATAGCTAGATAAATGCCCCAATCTGATCCATTTTGGAATCTTATTTAATGTCTGTGTTGAGGAGGATACTTCTGGTCTCTTAGTGTCCCTGGTACCAGATGTTAAAATACAGCTTGGGCAAATGAGACAGCTTAGGTGGCAAAGCTCTCAAATCACTCTGCAGTCACTAGTTCAGGACTTAAATTATATGCCTACTTCTAATTTGAATTAGTTTCTTTTTTCCTTTTCAGTTGATGTTTGATACTTCTTGCTTTTATCTACTTGGATTTTAATGCCTTCATCAAAAGCCCTTCCTTGATCTCTTCCTTCCATAAGAACTTTGTCACATCTCAGTTGCATTCCAAATATTAATTCTCTCTTAGAGACCACAAAAGAAATAATGGCTCTCATGGCTTATGCAATGTCTGAAGCTTGAGTTCAAGCTCAGACCTTCCTTTCATTAATTACCTTTTTCCATACCACAATTATTGGAAGTATTGGTTGTTCTGGGTGTGTTTACCTGCATGACCAGTTCCCTAATGACATATGAATATTTTTTTCATTTGATCTTCGTGGGACCTCAGTTACATACTTAAACTTTTGCTTCCTTCTCACACTTGACGGCCTCAGTTGATCTTTTTTCTATATACCTGTTCAAGGACACTTAAGATTTGTGTAGATTGCTTTCAAAGGTGGATTTCATCAACCTCTAAGTCTAGATTGCTTCCAAATACACATGTACAACCTTTTATGGAGTGTTTCCCAGCATTTAATGAAATCTGTCATTTCTGGGTCCAGGTCTGTCCTTTGAGTCGTTTGTGACCTCCGAGTTACCAAATCTGTCTGTGACTCTTCTTCCACATACATATGAACAGAATAGTTTCAGGGGAGATCTGCCTGTTTGCCTTGGGAGTACTGCCCTCTTAATCACATATATGCAATACACCAACCCTTGAGTGGGAGATATCAAATTCTAATTCCTTTCTTATGAGACTTTCTGATGTCACGGATTCTGACAGAAACCGTACATTTGTAATCAGCCCATTTTTTTTCTTTGAAATAACTACTAAAGCTGTTTTTTGCTGTTTCACTATTACTAAAAGAGAGGCTTGTATCATCTAGTGTTCAGTAAGGATCCTGATGCACTTTCTTCTGGGGAGGAAGGTAATCTCTCATTTGGTTTTTTGCAATATTCACTTTTTCAAAGGGAGTGCGTGAAAGGGCCATTTGATAATTAAATTATAAATTTTAAAGAGGAATCTGTTGGAGGTGCTTACCTGATTATTTTGGGACAATCCAAAATAATGGAAAAATGATGGCTATCTTCGGAAAATCCAAAATATAGATGACTGGGCTTCCTCCTTTTTCCAAAAGAAAATTATTTTACTGGGAAACTAATGCAGGTGGTTGTTCTTAAATAAGAAATGAGAAGGAAGTTTTTCCTCAAAGTTGTGTGAACTGATTTGTGTTGGGTAAGAGAATAAGTTGGTATTTGAACTTTGGGAAGGATTATTCCCACACCTCAAAATTTAAGCTGATTAAAATGCATTAATTTCACACTGGGGTCTAAAAGCCTTATGTACAGAAGTTTAATGACGAAAGAGCTTCTGTATTTATTTTTAAAATGATCTTCAAATTGCATAGGAAGACATGCATGCAGAAAGCTAAAATTGTCTTGTAGTGACTGTTAAATGATTGAATGTGTTGATGATTCTAAACCTAAACCCTGTTTCTAACTAAAACCTGTTCTGTTTCCTAGAATTATGGAGGCAGAGGCAACAGGAACCTGGGAGGAACGAACTTGTATTCTGCAAGTGAATTTGAGTCATGGAATTAAAACTACTTTAGTACCAAATTGGGTTGTATTCTGTTGTGCTTTAAGTGAACTGTTCTACTTAATGTTCCATGCTGTTAAGTTTATGAAACATTTAAAGTTTAAAAGAGTAGCTCGTATCATATGCTAAAGCTTGCAGCAATGTATACGTAGTCTGTTATGTTGAACCCAGTGATGATTATCACTCAATGTAGGAAGTCAAAAGCAGTTTCTCAGGAAACGCTTCAGGTATTAAGCATTAAAAATTTCAGTGGGTGTTTGATGCCTTGTAGCTAAACTAGTATGCTGCTGTAAAAAGATGGGGGTTTTGCAAGTGGAAAGTAGTAGGTCCCTTGAACTTTATTAGTTTGTTATCAAAATTTTGCATGAGAAGATAGTTTTGTGAAGACCTAGTTTGGGAAAGAGCTTTATGTAAAGGGCTCATCTAAACTTAATTTTTGTTCCATTTTGTAACAGGTCAGTTACAAAATGTGAATCTAGTGGTGAAATAACCTTCAGGATCTGTTAAACATCTTGTAAACAGTTACTTAATAGAAGCTTGAGGAGAGTGTATTGATGGTTGATACACAATAAAACATATGTCATTGCAGTTACATTAACTGGTATTAATTTGACATGCATGAAACGTTTGTATCTCCATGTGGAACTAGATTAGTGGCTGCATCCACAGCATAGTTGAAACACATGTTTTCACAGGGCGGTCTTCAGAGAAGGATGGTGCCCTGTGTTGCTTCTCTTATAATGTTTTTGCCTTTGACGGACATTAAGTACTCTTCTGTTACCTCACGTGGAAAAGTTTGCATCTCAATGGCTCATGTCCAACGGAGTTTTCCAAACTTGTAGTAGCTATAGAGGGTAAACAGCCATTAACAGTTCAAGGAGACTTCCTTAAAGTTGCTTTTTCTTTGTATGGTGGGTTAGCCCTTGGCTCGGGG